ATAAAAAATCTGACGAACTTTCAGAGATTCGCGATGAGAGTCGAGACATTTCAGGATACTCAGGCACTCTGCTAATCCAAAGAATCGTCGGATTTCGAACTCTTCGAGCTATCAGCTATGGCTTTGCTCACCGCAAGTATCGAAGATATCGATGTTCGTACCTTATTTCGCGCGCATAATGCAATTTTGAAAGTCCGCGTTTACGTCCACAGCGTTTGTGTTCCTTTGTATCAGTTTCCATAATCTCAGAGTCGTGAGTATCGAATTTCGTAATGGCAGTGTTGGCAATATCAAATTCCATGACCCCAGGGTCGTCGTTATTAGATCTCATAGCATATGCACGCATCGCGCCTATCATGTTCCGAGATATACAGATCGTTAGTCGTTCCCGACACGTCGTTGGATTATTACCAAGATTTGGAACCATAAAACATTAGCAAAGGACGAACGATCTTAATCGATGGCGTGCGCCACCGAAAGGTTTGACGAGTAACGATAATGGCAGACGCGAACAAGTATGCGTCGGTCAAGCAGTCTGAATACCTGGGCGGTGGCACCCACACTTGCGAGACGTTGATCCTTTCTCTAACAACGGCCTCGCCTTAATATCGTATCTACCAGTCGACTTCTCTGATGCAGCACACTGGCTCTAGTTCTAAACCATGTCTCGAAACAGCAGCTAGAGCCAACTGTATTCCTTTTCTCTTTTAAATGGTACATATATGTGTATACGGCAACGTTTAATACTCGACACTGAAGCAATCAACTATAAATAGTTTCCAAGTTACGAGAGATTGTATTTGAACAAAAACGTTGCTAGATCCGCGGCAGGCACAAATCGATCGCCCCCACCTGGGGAACGGTGATCGTATCGAATCGACTCTGTCTCTCGCTGTCTCGTCCAAGAGAGGTCCAGGGAAGGGCGAAAAAGGAGAGAACCGGTAAGAGGGAAAATTCCTAGATACGCGGTGCACGCCTTGGTCCCCTGACCTCGCGTATATCTGGCTACCTATTCGAAAAATGGTTGATTTCTGTCGTCGCGCGAGGGCCAATTGAAACGGAGCGGATGCGAGCCGGAAGGGCTGATAACCGGAGGCATAAAGCGAACGGGCGATTCCATAGAATAGAATAACGTCACGAGCCGTTGTCTACTGCTATTGTTATGCTTATGCAACGAATACGCTCGCGGTTTGTTGTTGGTTCGCTCGTTTTGCTTCGAAGAAAGTGTAAATATCCCTCGGGTAAAGGGGCGAGGAGTCTGCGATGCAAACGAGAAATGCTCGTGGATCGAACAAATCTACCTTTTCTTCCTCCTTTGTCCTGCACCATTTCTCCAGTATAATTCGATCTGGACGATGCGTCCTCTGGTTTTTGCTCTGTTCCTTCTGTCATTCGAATACAGTATAAACATGATCGGAGAAATGAAATAATAAAATCCAGTTCGAGAATCTTCTGTCCCTAACTTGACTGGCGAATAATAACAAGAAAGAAGCTTCGAACGAAGGTAACGGCGACCAATCTGGGTTCGGAGGTACTGGGAAGGAATTCGCACAAATGAACTTAATCGATGGTTTACAGTTGAGAGGGGACAAAAAATACAATTCCTTTGACGAAGGCCACGATTTTCCCGTAACAAGGAGACTCGTGAATCATCAAAGGCCACTTACAAATGTATCTCTGCATCATAGATCGTTAACTTCCTCCAGCCAAAGAATGGTAAAAGGGTAATGAAACGAATGCGACTCGTGAATACTTCAACCTTCCGGTCTCAGACTCGATTATGAATAACGATTCATTAACGATACGTATACTTATGAACTATCTTCGCCTAAGAATATATGCAAGAAACAAGAAAATGAATACAAATACGCGTTGTCTTTGTGTCCCTCGCCACGTCCCGTCCTCTATTATCGATTTCAGCCAAACGAATTAATTAGACATCTATTCGATATTCGATAACGGCGCCGTTTCATTTCCCACGTCGTATGCGCTGCGGGTAACGAATTTAACGCGGACCGCGAATTGCCAATTTCTACAGAATTTCTATAGGAAAGGCAAACGGATAGAAGATTAAAAAGCATGAACGCGCCAAATATCGATACCGGTCACCGCGGTGGCCCAGAACCAGAAGAGTCGTCAATCGTCGAAACGATTCGTGCGAACAAAAATCGCTGACCTCAAAAACCTGCGTAAAATAAATACTGCATGAAAAAAAAAAGAGGTGAACCGAATCACCGACACAGCGGTAAAATGTGACGAAACGTCGACAACGAGGTAACGCGTACAACGCATACAGAGCGAAACTGAGCGACGGTCAAAGAAGCCTGCGTTTAACCATTGCAGTTACGTTTGTGTTAATTTCCTAAAAGAGTACGTGGCTTCGCTGCGTCGCTGGTATGAATCAAAATTCGTCGAATCCCCCGCTGACTATTTTCTAGCTGAAACCTAATGCAAGATTTACAGCCGAGCCTGTAATCTTCGTGATTTACTCGAAACCAATAATAAACTTCTATCTCGTGACGTTTACAATGCAAACGGCAGTCGTACACATATTTCCTCTTTTCCTATTTATCTCACCTCTTTTCTGTTCGTTTTTCTCGCACCTATCTGCGCAACGTTCCATCGCCGCACCGCCGTCAGGCTTCGAATCGGCGTCGAAAAGAATCGCGACGATAAAACTTACGCGAGAATTCTGCAGAGAGAGAAAACGAGATGATACACGTACACCTGGTTATGTATCATCGTTGAGATAAAGCCTGAACGGTGGCTGGTGGATAAACGCGGCCACAGCCTCCAGCAACGATCTAATGACGGACGATGGAAATTTTGGGAAATCGTGTGTAAAAATCCGCCTCTTAAGCACCGTAATATCTTATCTCAAGGAAAAAAATCGCGATAGGACTATCCCAGGATCTTTTTCCGGCGTCTATTAAACAAGAAAACCGACGCGAACAGTAAACTCCCGAAGGAACGATATCTGTGGAAAAGAAACGAAATCCCGAAGAAACGTCACCGTCGGTGCGACCGAATAACGCGAAAAACAAAGTTACCGCGAGTTCCACGGTGCACGACCGCCATCCTATCGTCGAACTTATGCGAAAAACTTGTTCGCGAAATTCCGACGCTGTTCAGTGGTCGCGAAAAAATGTTTCATTCCAAGCGTGTGGAATTGAAAGAACAAAACCGAGAACGTTGACAGGCAGTGAATGACGAGATAGGCATCGGAAATATCGGATGCGGTTCACGGTCGTGAACTTAATTTGTTCAGATCCTTTCTGCTCGATGCGACGCACCGACACGCGCCACGTAGACGTAGAAAAATAACGGGCAACAGGAGCCGCGAATTAGCGACGGATGAAATATCTCTTTTGATGGTTGACGCGATGAAGTTTTCGTTATAGAGCCACGCTACATCGAACGGTAAAAGGTCTGTCGAGTGGCTTGCATAAAAATCCAACCGCGAACCGACGAACAAACAAATAAACGAACGCGCCGCGCGAATTTCGACGCGACCAATTCGGCTCCGACTTCGATTACGAGCGCGGGTCGTGAAACGTGATTTATAGATTCGCGATCACGAGACTTTTAGGTAGCGATAACCGGAGTTGTCCTCTTTCGCGTGGCCGTAAAATTTTTTCGACGCTCGTCATCGCAACCCGTGACATTTCGCGCTAGAACCACGAGACTCCGACCCATCGATGAAGTGCCCGTACGCGTCCGTAACAGCTGAACATAAAAATGTTATCGCATCTCGCGGTAAAAGTATCTGCGCGATACCTAATAAACTCCGACTAAAAGAGAATAGAGGGACGATTGAAAATTAAGAAAAATCGTAAACTGCCAGACGGAAGTGCGAGACGAGTTTCGTCGTTCCGAGTCGACTATTAAAAGTTACCGATGAAACTGTAACTAGCATTTAAAATTTACGTCAATTGTATTGTTATCGGCTAAAAATCTATCGTTTTTATTAACGCTTTCTTTGCCACTTGAAATAAACTGAACTCTTTCTTGGAGTCGGTCTATCGATAGCGTTACGACAGAACGAATGTAAAGTCTGAATAAAGTATTCGTATTACACATAATTTCTTCCCCCTAATTTCTTCCCCCGTAGTGGAATACGTAGGAGAAACCACGGCACAAGTGCATAGTTCATACTTTATACAAATAGTACACAGCGTTTTAAACGTCGATCCGGTAAATTGGTGTTCTTCGAATAATTACTTATACCACTTTTATATCCCTGGTTTAATTAACTATCCGCTCCATTGAACAGATCTCTAGTTTCGACTTAATTCGAACTACCTATTTTGCTTGTTCGCATAAAAAACAACGGATGCCTGATATTTTAAGCCCGCGATTCAAGTCGAAAAATAATTGACAAGTTCGTGATCTTCAACGAGCTTCTAGCTCGTTAAAATAACAGCTATGGTCCTAGTCGTCTGGTATCGTGAATTATTCAACAGCATCGAGCCAAGCAATCAGAATGTCGTAGAAAAGTTCAGGTAATTAAGGTAAGTTCGGTGGTCAGAGTTAATAAACCTTGGAACACCGATACCCTTCTCTCCGATAGCGAACGAGAGAGAGGATCCGTGTAACAACCCGTCCCTCTTAATTCCTCCCTCGAGACTACTTCGACTCTATTACAACAACTACTTTAGAACAATGGCTCTGGACACAGCACGGCAGTCTGGAATCGAGTCAAGTTTTGCGTCATACTTCGATACGCTTTCGGATACCATCGATGAACCCGATTAGAATGTATTACGATACAATCATAATTAATAATTCCAGTTTACCGACAAATGCGAATCATTTCATAGTTCGATTTCAATTTATACTTATGTTAGTATACGCAAAGGACGAGACAAGTCCATTCTACTCTTATATATACAATAAATTGTGAATCTCGAGTAAATAAGATCCCAGCAAGACGGAATATCGTCTCGAGGGATGGACCGTTTACTTAGTAGTCGTATAAAAATTCAATGGTAAAAACTCACCTGTCCGTAGTTGTCGAACCCATATTTGGTGGCGATCTCGGCAGCAGCGTCCGATCCGTCGGGTACGTGGACAGCAAATTGGTTGGTGAAAATCGGCGTTGGTCTCGGTCGTGGTCCTGGCTCCGACTTCACAGTGAACACACCGATCGACGCCGCGAGTAACGCGTACAATAAATCCGTCCGCGCGATCATTTTGACCCGTTTCGAATATCGCTACCTTCGTATCTTCGAATCAACAACGCGACCGGGGACCTCCACGCGCGAGTATCAACCTCTTCCTACCTGGCACGCGACGATCGTTCCGATTACTTTTCAAGTAGTCGGACTTTGAATATCGAGATCACGTTACGACTAGAGGTTAACAACGAACGAAACGCGAGTGTATCTTCGTTAATTTTCCCGCAGCATTGTCACGGTCGCGAACGTTCCGATTCATTCGAACGACGCAGCAAGTTCGAACAATTTGATACAAATTACGACGCGAGATGCTTACGCCCGAAACTTGCGATCGGTCCAACGCGTCACACGAAACTGCCCGAACAGACTCCTCGTCGGTCGGCGATGATTGCCCCTGTAACGAAAATGGAGTGGGGATGTAAAAATTAATACACGCTGGTGTTTGGAGTACAGGGGAACATACGAAACATAAACCAACCTTTCTCCCACATGTTTTCTACCCGCACCACCAATGTTTACATGCCACTCGCTCAACTTTTGGACTGGGTAAATTTACTGTGTACAAATACTCTTATGATCAAATAAATCCTGACCGATGTAATATCGCAAACGACACTTTCCTCAATTAATAAACGCGATAAGATATATGTACTTGAGCTGGAATGTGATCTGCGGTTCGCATATCGTTTAAAGATATTTTCTATCTAGGACTAGCCAAGAGAATGCAGCGGTGAATGAAAATTGAAAGAATTACAAGGCTGGCGAGAGAATGTCAATTCGAGCATTGAAAACCGATAAAACGTTTTGTTGTCTATTTTACCCGTGTCAGCTCCGGAAAAAGATTCCCGATAGAATCAAAAGTTTTCTCGATCGGCCTTCCCCAGTTCCCTGGTCTCCCTCTCTCTCATGTTGACCACGTAGAACGACGAGCGTGTACACCGAGGTAATTTGAAAACTACACTGGGGATGTCGAAAAGATTCATTTGGTGACAAGCAGCTCATGCAGGAAACGAAGAATCCCGAACATAGAATTTCTGAAGCACGCACGGAATTCGAAATAAAGAGAGAGTTTCTCTTATTTCGGAGAAGGAGCAGCAGCGATTAAAATTGAAATGGATCGTCATCCAATTCGCGGAATTTGATAGAATCGTAAGAGCGTAGGCGAAAACAGAAAACATGATCTAATTTCGATCACGAAACGATTCGAAGCGATTACATGGGAGTTTCGCAAGCGACAACGAGACGCGGGTAGAGGGAGAACTCGATACGTGTACCGAGAGCCGTATCGACGATAGTTACCGTGAAACGAGGGAAAGGCCGGTCGAGTTCTAAATATGAATGCATTTAGATGCGTCGAGCCCCGATTTACCTAACTCGATTCCCTCGCGAAATTTCAGTCGCTATTAACGGTTTAATACCCAGTGGAAACGAAGCGACCCACGAAATCTATTTACTTCCTTTCTCGAGTATACAATTAAAGAGCCAGTTTTAGGTAACGAAGCGCGTACTCGCTTGCCCGAAGACGTACTTCTTTCGCTTTCCATAAACGATAAATTAACTGTAGTAAGCCTTTTACACGAGTCAAAAAATGAAATATCGTTACGGCACGGCGGCGTTACGTAAGAAAGTTTCGCGCGAATCGTAGGCCACTCACTTTTACCTGTCGCACGACTGAAAGACTCTCACGATGCTACACTTTCGCGCGTAACTCAAGTATTCGCCCGATCAGCTTTCTAGCCCGCGCACATGAACGTACCCACCGTACATTGCAGACTCATTTCCATCGTGACCAAGGACAAAACTATTCGAGCGACAAGAAACGCTGATCCGCGTCTATTTCAGCAGATAAGCGAAACGTTATTCAACGAGAGGCAACGATCGTTCGATGACAACAACAGACTCATGACGTCAAGATGAGTTATTTTTAACCGCGATTCTTCACAGAAAAATCGTCGACTTTCGTCCCGCGGACGTTTCGTAGATCGCATGTGAGAATTCGGTAACAACTAAACGTAACAAAAATCCGCGGCACAGCAAGTCGATTGTAATTACGATGCTGGAACATGCAAGTTTGTCGCGTGAAATAAGCCTCCCAAAGCTCCGGGAACAGCTGCGCGATATTTCTGTTCTAATTACGGAGCAACTTGAAGCAATTTAGCGAACGTCCATCACCCGGAGGAAGGAGAGGGTGGATGGAAAAAAAGTTTTCCTCGATAAGACGTAGGTAGTAGGTAGGTAGGTAGGTAGGTAGGTAGGTAGGTATATCTGAACGAGTCCGAAGCCAGGCCGCGAGAGCCTGATATCGAAAATTACCGGCTAATGCGATCGTGGCGAAAATTGTGCACGCTTCCATGAAAACGTTTCGCGATTAAACGACCGACTCTTACGACGCTTTTCCTGGTTGTGCGCGAGGAAAGAACGATGCTACTCCCGATAGGAATGTTCCCACGCGACGATAACCCTCGGTTGATACCGAGCGCTCTCCGTACCAAGAAGAACGCAAAAAAATTGACCGGACCCAGGGGTTACGCGCGATCAAACGGGAATCAAGATACAGCGCTGATTAAAAAATCGTTTACCACGATATTAACCGCAGCTGATGCTAATAACTAGAAACGAAGTGCATACTATCGATCACGCGCGTGTCACGCACCGCGGCGCGGCTTTACAAGTTGTACAATACAATGCGATACAATACGGTTTCAAAGTTACCCACATCTCCGAGAAACTGTCTCGCGTACCGAATCCAATTACCGATGACACGCGTACTAGCCGGGAAGACGTTGATAACGACAACATCGAACAAACACACCGCTGCTGGCCTGCTGACGGTTTGCTGACAATTACGCTGTGCAATGAACACACACGTATCACGATCCCCGTTCCCGATCTCATCCCAATCAACGGACAAGTGTGCGCATACGCTATTCGTTTCTATTATCTACAAATTACATACTCCGAAAGTAACGCGGATTCTATGGGAACCTGATCAGATGTTCTGGACGGAATCCATCGAATAAGACGTTTACCGGATATCAAGCTCGATCTCGTAAACGTACCGTTTTCGCGACAACCTTTGTTCTCTGCCAAATAATAGGCGCTCGACTCAGATCGATTCCCAAGATTGCAGCACCTGATCAACGCTTCATAACATTTAATAAGCGCGAGGAATTATTCTTAAATTCAGCGTAACCCGTGATTCTATCTTACGCCATAAAATTGGCGTAGTAACATTAAGAAATCCTCGATTCCTACTTAATTCGCGATCTTTCGACACGAACCGTCGTTTTTACCTACTTCGCGAAACGAAAACGACTCGGCCGACGACGCACGCACGAATCGCTTTACGAGCCGTAAATTACAAAACCTGCTCGTTAACAACTCCTGTACACGTAAGTGTACTCGTATGTACCTACACGCTAAACGATACACAATCGATATTATTGATCGAGACTCATCACCTCTTTTCCTCTATAATTCAATGTATGTGCTAATGAACGTTACGACGAAATAAAGAGAAGTCGGTTCAATTCTGATTAATAAATGAATGTACATAAATCATGGAATTTCAGAATTGAAACTGAACACCGTTTAAATGCGCTTCATTACCTTGCAATAAATTCATCTAACATTTTAGGGATTGCGTCTTCTTTTCATATATTTCCACGTGTCTCACAATTTTCGCTTTATCCGACGTGAAAATGAATTCGTGCGAACTAGTACTATTACGAACATGTGGGGTCAGGATTGAATGCGATCGGTAAACACAGTTGAATCCGGAAACTAACGGGGAAGGAAATCTGGCCTAGCAGAGTGAACGGACGTCGCGATCCACCATAAATACGTGTGTTACGTACACGGTTGACAAGTACGGGAAACTTGTTCGAACAGGAAAGAGCAACTATTTTTTTGTCCTCGATGCAGCGAGCTCTCGAGAGAGCCGGCGTTCCACGGACACCGAATCGGAACACGGACGAGAATATAGAGAGAAAAGAAGAAATTTTACACGAAAACGGTGGTCAAGAACGCGTTTCAGCGAAACTTGATTAGATTCGACCTCTACGCGATTAGAAAAACGTGAAATCCGGCGGTGTACGTGCAACGAGTCCAAAAATCGATCGTTCTCATTTTAAATACGTCGATGTGCCGATGATATTGAGACCCGTGGCACGTCCCCTACGAAGGACGAACGACGGTACGTAGAATAAGATGTGAAGCGTTACTTACGGTGCGATACGCGATTTTTCCATGCGACCACAGCTCGTTTTGCTACGGCCCGATTAACAGGCGCGTGAAATCCCAACGCCGAGTCTCGGCTGCTTTCACAACTTGCTCTTTTTTTCTTTCTCTCCCGTGCGGCGAACGCAACGCGTGCACCGTTCCGTACGCGAATCACGGTCAGCTGTATTTTCGACGAAAGTGAAAGAATCGGGTTCATTGAACCACTCTTACGGTTACGCCAATTTTAATTCGTTGGATGAACGCGACTCCGTAGGTTTTAACAAGACAAAATTGTTCCGTGATAGCAAAATCCTTGATTAGATACGATTAGGAAGTTTAGCATTTATCAACAGTTACGATTAGCAATCAGATACTACATACCTGCTAAACCTCGTATTTATTTTTTCGACAAAAATGAGTATTCCATGCACACATTCACTTAACATCTACGGTCTAGCTTTTCCATACAAATATAAGAAAAATTCTTATATTTATTATTATATTTCCATGATTTTTCCACGACGAATAAAATTAGCATTAGGCGAGAAAAAATATTTATCCATATGAACTACATACTACGTACATACATACATATGGCGCGTTCCGAACGGATTGGGGCAAGGCTTCCAGGAGAAGTTTCACGAAGAGAAAGTCATTAGCACACGAGGACGACGTAAACCGCGTTGGGACCAAAGATCACGAGAAAGAGACGTGCTATTCCTCGTCATCAATGAAAATCTAAATGTATCATTGGTCTGAACGGTTTGACCTCGCGACAACTTCGGGTTCCAGGCGAATGATTAGAAAGATCAACGAAGCAAAATTTAATGGAGGTTAGAAAAATGACGGGATATTAGAAATTCCATTGATATTGGCTGGATCATGCCTTTTTCGAATTGGAAATACGCTTACCTGTTAAGGTATCACGCGCGGTGTTGCAACTTCCCGGTCGTCGTCGTCGTTGTCCTCGTCACGATGAAATTCCAGCGATCTTGCAACTGTACTCTTGTAAATGTCACCGATTCGGGCACTCGATGTATTCGTTATACGTACATATACTTAATTATACTACACGAGAGGAAACGAATATGTACGCGGCGATTTCGTACGCGGTTCGCGGCATGTTCTTTTGGCACGAGATCTCTGTACGAGGATGTTTAGTGATGAACGTCGATGACATGTGCGCGACAGATGGAAGGACACCCGCGCACTCTTCGGAACAAGTAAATGCATGCACGTACAGAAATGTATACGTAAGGACGCGGCGGCGTATCGCGAAAGGAACGAACGACTTACCCGATCGTCTTGTAGAGGCGAAACGTAGCACCGCACTGCACCGACTGCCCTCGGCTCTCGCTGTGCTCTCGGCCGCCGTTCGCCAACGCGATAAACAAACTCGTCGCCTCTCCTTCCCTCTCTCACGCTATTGCGCGTCCTTCTCCGTTCTCCCGTACGCTGTCTTCCTCCCGCCAACCGAACCGTGCGTCATGCGCCGTACGTCGCCCGCTTACTCAACGAAACTATTTCCCTCTCGTTCCTTCCTCGTGCCGCGTGTACTATCTTCTCGCTTTATCCATCGCCGTTCTCCTCGCTCCCGCTTTCCCGTTCATCATCTCTGTTACTCTTTCTTGAAATCACTCTGCCTCTGCCTCTGCCTTCTCGCTTATAGTCCGCCCGCCGTCGAACAGTGCTGCCAACAGAGTTCCGCCAAACACCAACGAGTAGAGAAGACGGGAGAACTCTCCGCAGCTTGTCACCTGGCGTTCACGGGTTTTCGATATTTTCCGAGCACGACGTTGAAACCGCCGGTACGGGCTGTCGCGGGATGCGAGCAACGATCGACTACGTTCGTACTCTCGAGGAAACCGAATGTCACTCGCGAGAATGATAAACTGCACACGTTTATGTTTGTTTCGTGACGCGACAACGCGACATGCGACATGTTTCGGAGCACTCGCATTACGTACTGGCACCGCGAATCTTATCCTTGTCTCTACCGCCACCTATCACGATTGACCGAATCATATCGCGATCCCGCCATTTCCTACGGCCAAGTCGGGTTATGTGTACATTTTTAGATTATTCTAATTAAACAGACTATTAGTCGCCGAATGCCGCTGATTCTTGGAATCCATCTGATTTACGGCGCAATTACAATTAAATTTCAATAAAAATCGAACTGCACTTTCTGCATTATCTTCGGTAGAGCAAATTGAATCCTGAGTCTCGTGAAGATGGTCAATCGTTCTGGTTCTCCCGTGACTCGATTCTAGATCCTTTTAAAAGCGGTACTGCAGTCCGTTAATCAATTTCGATTCAACTTTGGTTTGAATACCGATAGCTCATCGATCACAGTCGTGATCGTCCAATGTTCTCCAGGATCACTCGCAAACTCACATTCACAAACTCTACGATACAGGGCGCATGCGCAAGTGTCTTTCTTCCATCTCGCTTACGGTACTCTCTATCTTTGTCTTTTCCCGTCTCTTCCGGAATACGGATCATTGCGGATCATCATGGTGCGTATATTTCGGTGAAATCCATTTAATAAATCGGGAAAAATAGTAACGATCCGTTATCGAACGCGCAAACGAACCATATGCCGACGTATAGGCATAGTTTCAAAACAAAAGGCTCCGACTATTAGCCGTCTAAACGCGTAGGATGACGTGTTACTTGTTGTTGTCGTGCGCTTTGAGGTTATACGAAAGTGTCTTTGATGTTTTCATGGATTCTTTTATCCAGAAATCACGAGCGTGGAGGATGGTTGGAGTGTATTCATTTCGATCATAGAACAATTATGATTTCAGAGTCGCGTTAGAACGAAAACGGTCAAAAAGGCCGCGAAGCTGATCATCGAGAAGTACTACACGCGATTGACGATGGACTTCCATACCAACAAAAGAATATGCGAAGAAATTGCCATCATCCCTAGTAAATCTTTGCGAAACAAAATCGCTGGGTAAGTATTTAAAAGACAATACGTGTTTGATTATTCCCAACGCGTGTAAGTTTATAATTTTTGTTTGGTCGTCAGATTTGTCACCCACTTAATGAAGCGGCTAAGACACAGTCAAGTACGTGGAATATCTATTAAGCTTCAAGAGGAGGAGAGGGAACGCAGAGACAACTATGTCCCCGAAGTTTCTGCCCTAGAGCATGACATTATTGAGGTTGATCCAGAGACCAAGGAGATGTTACAAATGCTTGGATTCAACAACATTCCTGGACTTCAGCTGACGCAATCTCAGCTGCCACCATACAGCAGGCGTTCTTAATATTTATTTGTTTAATTAAACGAGACTGTTGGTATCGTGTTGTTCAATAAAACCGCGAGCTGACATTCTGAAAAACTCTTTTGTACATCTACAAAAAAGAAGACTCAGTTCACGTTCGATACAATATCTGATTCATCAACGACCCTGTTCCTTTTGTTTAAGAATAATATGCTTGGAAGGAGACCGTTCAATAAGTTCGGTGCTCCATTTAAGTGAGAACCGTCGCCCTTCCGCGTTACGCCCACGCATTCCAGGTTCTAGTCAGATTTGCGGGACAAGGGCTTCCGAGACTGCGCGACCTAGCAGCGAGCACGAGCCGAGGCTGAGTAATCTAGCCCAACCTGGGCTCGCTGGCTCGCGCGCATACAGAACGAGGAAGGGAGAGCTCGAGAGTGCGAGCGAAAAGACGCGATCGGACAGTACGAGCATGAGTGTCGAGTGAAAAGGGAGCGGTGAGGAGAGGGAGAACGTAGAACCGGCGAGGCGAGTCAGTCGACTATTAGTGATCTGTGACTCTGGAGGTAGGCAGTAGGCCGACCACCGCAAAACCGAGCCCGACGCAGCTCGGTTGCGTTCGGTCGGTGTCGGTAGTCGGAGCCAGTCGGGCGCTCCGCTGTTCCTTTTCGGTCGGCTCTGCTCTGCTCTGCTCTGCTCGTTTTCCTTAGTCCGTCGTCGCGCTGCGCATCGAAAACAGTTGCTGCATCCTTTCTTCTTCGTCAAAGCTAGTAGCACCCGAACGGGGAGTTACTGTAGTACCCTGTGTATCTCTTATTCCGCGCTATGTGACGGATATCGGGGGGCACCGAGCGTACCCCGCCTCCTCTTCGTCTTTGTATCATTCCCACCCTCGTCCTCCTCTCTGCTCGCGTTCTCCTTTTTTGTCCAGAGAAAGAGAGAAAGAGCACGTTGTAAACGCAGGCGGGCAGACAGGCAGGCAAGCAAGCAAGCAAGCAAGCAGGCAGGCAGGCAAGCAGACAGACAGACACGTACGAACGCGTACGCAAGTAAGTACATAGTACGTACGTACGCAGCCAGGCACTCGCCGACGCAGGGGCCACGAGGGCCCCGTGAAATCGTGTCTACGAGGAAACATGGAGTGTCCACATCTCGTGCAAAGCGTTCAATTCGGCGGTAACGACGTAGAAGCAAACTGCACAAAGGATCTACCGTTCGTCTGCGCAGGTAAGACCTGATATAAAAGCCCACGCCTCTACTCTCTACCTTTCCCCTTTCCGTCGAGCGTAGAGAAAGGTTTTAATCTCCCAAGGATCGTGTCCCCCTTTCCGCTTTTTCTTCGATCGACCCTGCATTTTCAACTCCGAGATTTCGCAGGTCGCCCGTTCGTCTCGATCTCGATCTTTTCTATCGCCTCCTCTCGTCCGTCGTCGTCTCCCTTTCTCTCTTTTCTTTTGCGTTCTTTATCCGCTCTCCGTCTGCCCATCGCGCCGCTCTCTCTTGTTTCTTTTTCTCCCTTCAGCCTCCATCTCGCTCTCTCTATCCCGGTTCTCGTCCCTCTTCTCATCCTCTTTCTCTCTTCACCTCTCGTGACCGAGGCCCCGGCCGTTCCTCTCGCGGCCTTGAGCCATCGTACCCCGAGAAGATGTAGCGAACCATTTCTGTTTTATACCCAAAAGGAACCCAATTGTGCATGCTTCGAGAAAAAAAAAAAGAAATTTTGCGATTGATACGTGCGCGCGAGCGAGCATCGTTGATAACTCGGTTAAACGTTCGGCCGTACGCCGTGTATCGTGAATCGAACTCATCGCGTGTACTCGTGTATACGCGATACACACGCGAACGTGTATATACGTGTGAACGCGAGAAACGACGCGACGCGACCGACGTGTCTTGCAGACGCGTGTGAGGGTGTACAGAGAGGCGTGCAATCATATACGTAGATAGGTACATGCACGGCTGATGCGTCGGTGTGCGTTCGCTGCGCTCGTGAGTTCTTTCGCGGAGCGAGCTTCGTGAATGTGGACGTGCGCGTGTGCATCGTCCTGCTGAGAGTTCTCAGTAAGTATGCGGCGCGGTCGTCATTGGAAAATCAATACCAGGCGGCACTAATCAGCTGGCCTGAGATCTGTCATTAGAACTCCTCGGATAAAATGCGTTCACCGTCCGTTGCCCGTCGGTCGATCGGCCGCCATTCGCTTCTCGTTCATCAATTTCGATCAGATTTCCGCTCGGCAACTTGCTCGATTTCTCGAGAATCATCGTCGTCTTCGAAGATCGATGGAAACTACGTTAAAAAGAACGTTACGCGAATGCTTCTCCGTCGTTGCTTTCTCCCATGCATCGACCGCGACTACTCCCTTCATCCTTTCTCTGTCCATCGGTTCGAGTACTGCTATATTTATCTCGAAATCGGCTCAATATTTTCGTCCGCTCTCCTCTGTCGAAGCGATCCGAGCGAAGCCCTAGATGGAAAATTTCATAATCGAGAATGTCGCGCCACGCTACACTGCTTCTTGTCTCTTTGTCAGGAAGCGGCGTTTCGCGATCGGCAACAGCCGGTACATATTCAATTTCTGAAAAGAGACATCCTTTTTAGAAAAGAACCTGCGAGCATTACGCACACCATGTCCGAGATACGGGAGAGATAGAGAGAAAATACGTGTGTAGGAAGAAGAGAATGGAACGAGACGAAGAGTCGAGTCAAATCGGGGAGCAGAGAGTCGTAAAGCATTTCGGAACAGCGATAGTAGTGGCGGTGCGATGGCAGTAGCCAATGGTGGCAGTGATGAGTCAGACGCCACGTTTTTCGCAAACTTTCGGCCGCTCGAGTTGGTCCGCGGTTTCCTAGACGTTCTCGCCAGGACGCGTTCAAAATGCGTCGCGACGTCGATGCCGCCGGCGTTGGTCATTACGCTCTTCCGTGGGATCGTTCACGCTCGACGAATCGCGAAGTATCCACGTTGCAAGATCAATTTAAATATCGAGCGAAAATCTCGGCAAGCTGCAACGACGACGGTATAAGTATAAGCTTGCTCTGTCGCGCACGAGTCATGCGAGAGAAAAATCGTCCCTCGTGGGCTATAAAAGAACCCCATGTCCCGCCCTTCTCCCTTTTCCCCTCTTCCCCATTCTCCATCCCCTATCGCCCATCCCCCATCCCCACGGCTCTCCTCTTCTGGCTCTTTTCCTGCGCTCCAAGCTGGTTCGGGGTTCGGGACGTTTGGGTACGACGTTGCAAAATCGATAACGGCGTCGTTGCTAATCGGATGCCTCGACACGAGTCGCATTGCTCGGGAAACGAATTTTTCCAACCGACCACGCTCATTCTTGTCCCCACGTTCTCGCCATACGTACGTACCGCCTATGTAACTCTCACAATTAGTTCAGTACATAGTTCATACGTTTGACGTTATCGCCTTTCCTTACCTACGATACGTTGCTCGACGAAATTCTTCGAGGCTCGGTGAATCGAATTGTTACGAAACGCGATAAAAGTTGAAATACTGGCAAGATACGTAGGAGTGCCAGGACTGATGTTCAACCATCGCTTTTTTCGTTTTTCATTACGTTCCATCACGGTTACCTTCTGCGATGGAGAGAGAGAGAGAGAGAGATCGCGGAAACTTTCAGACCTTACCTGTCTAACGGCGATTACCGTTCGATTTTGAACTTGGCCGTTCTGACGTAATATTCTAAGAATACACCGTGATTCCTACTATTCCGCTTCGACGTGAAATCGCGATTTATCGCTCGCATTAGGAATATCGGTCACCGAACGACAACGATCTCGCAAAAATTTATAGGATCTCGTCGCGATACTGCTTCGATGTGCGCGCGCGGACGATGCACCAGAACGCATCCAGACGCTTTCAGAGTTCTTAACAAGACGAAACGATAGAGCCGGAGTGCAACCTCGAGACGGTAAAACACACCTAGATACAACCTTGTGGAAGATTGAATTTCAATTCGCTTTTTTCGCGTGTGGAAACCAACGTCTCACTTTCCACGCGCTCCTATTTTTTTCCTCTGGAAACATTTGCCTGTATCTTTTTTTATTGTTCCTCATTTATTTAACGTGTCTAAAAATAGAGATGCATCGGACCTCGCGCCACGTAAACACGTAAGAAATGAGAAAGAAAAAAAGGAAGCGAGAATGCCAGTTACGTAGCGGAACACAGCATCTCATTATCGATTCGCCCGACTCTGGGCTGGAGCGCTTTTAATAATCGCCGAAATGCACCCTCGTGAAATTCGATCGATCCATCCAACGCACGCGGATTACTTATTCTCGAGATTGTGAAAATGCCGATGCGAATGGAAAAAAAGAAATGCTAGAAATGATAGCGCGTAGCGAAATGCTTTGCGATCGATCGACTGTGACGAGGGTGTAGGTCGGACAGTTCCTCCCACTTATGCTCGTTTCACGCGTTCTCTCGAGAATCGCGTATGCCGAAACTGAACGAAGCTACGGCGACTACGGATGCATGTATTTCGATTTGATTCCGATGCCAGCAGCTACTTATCGAGAATCCGTTTTGTTACTGTCGACAGTATGCGGCAGCGAGAAGAGTACGTGGCTCTGTCTGTATTGCGGAGCTGTTCACTGCGGACGATACGTGGCAGGCCACGCGTTGCAGCATCATGAGGAAAATACTCAGCACTGCGTTTGCATCGATTGTGAGAACCTAGCAGTATTCTGGTAAGCGGACACCCCCTGCGCTACGCGTAGGAGTTCACAATCTTTTTCGCTGAATTTTTTATACAAATGTTCGCCAACTAGCCAAGCTTTACCATCGTTTCAGTTACCTGTGCGATGAGTACGTCGTCAACGACACGACGAACGAACAAATCGAGAAAATACGTCGCGTCACGTTCCGGAAAGACGAGCACAAAGAAAACGAGGAGAATTGGAACATGTCGCCGTCTACGACGCCGTCCTCGAGGAGAGCCAATGGCAGCGACAATGACAACGAGAACGAGAACGACAACGACTCGGCGGACGCGCTATGGAAGGCGGAAGTTGTCGTGAGGAACCTCCGGCCGAGGACGGCGCGGAAGAGGCTACACTCGTTGGACGGGACGAGCGGAGACAATCGGCCGGCGACCAAGCGTAGGAGTTCCAAGATAACCAAAGAGAAAAAGGTCGTCGGCCTAAGGAATCTCGGCAACACCTGTTTCATGAACGTCGTTCTCCAGTCGTTCAACAACATCAGCCACTTTTGCGAATATCTCACGCAAATGCCGTGCCTCGAAGGGATACCCTTCGACGAGGCACCCTCTCACAGAGGACGGATCGTCACCCCTGGACGGGCGAAAGAGTTCATGAGCGACGCTCTGCTCGCGGAGGAGCTCAGAAAAGTTCTGCTCGGTTTGAATCTGGGTGGGTCGAATGGCCAGGCTATCTCGCCCGAGTGCCTCTTCCTCGTTATATGGAAAGTGGTACCGAGATTTCGGGGATACCAGCAGCAAGACGCTCACGAGTTTCTCACCTACATGCTGGACAGGCTGCACACGGAACTGCTGCAGCTGCTGCCTAGACTGGGTCACGAACCTCTAGGTCTGCGCGGCAAGCAGAGCATCGTCACAGCCGTGTTCGGAGGCACTCTTCTCAGCGTGGTAAGTCGCCGTGGATCGTTCGAACGTCGACCCTCGGACGTCGAAGCCGAATCATTTTCGACCGATGGAAATCGAGTCTTCTTTTCGAATTCGAACACTGTGAGAATGAAAAAAGCCGGGCGAGGGTCGACTTCTTATAGTTTATTATTCCAATGCGGAACGACGCGCGACGAGAGGTAGGACGAAGCGTGTGTGTGCGTGCGCGTGTGCCCCCTCCGAATCACCATTCTCTGGACGAGTCATTTTATTATTTATTTTCTTCTTGGGAGAGAAGCGCGGACAAATTATGGATCGCGTTTCCTCGCGCAGGTCCATTGTATGAACTGCCGTACAGATTCGAAGACGCACGAGCCCTTCCAAGATCTCTCGTTGGACATACCCGACAGGCTGCAGAGACGAACGAAGGAACAGGAAGAGGTGTGCAGTCTCACCTACAGTCTATCGAGATTCTTCAAAGTGGAGGAACTGGCCGACAGCGAGCTGTACTTCTGCGACAACTGCATGGGAAAACAGAGATCCACCAAGAGGTTTTGGATACACAGGCTGCCTAATGTTAGCTCAATACCGTTTACGCTCGTTTGCGAATTCGTCTGTTCGTTCGATTGACTATTGAAATTTTGTTTTAGGTATTGTGCCTTCACATTAAAAGATTTAGGTGGTGCAACTCTTATCGGTCGAAGGTCGATACGCAGGTGGATTTTCCGATGAAGTCTCTCGACATGTCCCCGTTCACGGTACGCGGCGTTAGCGGAACGAAACTGGGCACCTCGAACAGCCACCTCTACGACTTAGCTGCCGTTATCGTGCACCATGGTTCAGGGTATGCTCGGACTGACTCTCTGTTCTTCTCTTTTACATCCCGATACGTATCGCATACACATAATTAGTAAACTGTAGCGCCGTAAAATGCCCGTATCATCGATGTAACACATATTTTCGAAATAAACAGAGGAATATCCATTTTAGTGCTGGAACTGGACACTACACTGCCTTCGCTGTTCACGACGGACAATGGTTTCACTTTAACGACAGCTCTGTACGACCAGCAACCACGGATGCGGTCGCGAAGTGCAAGCCTTACATTCTGTTTTACGTGAGAAAAGAGTTCTCCATTCCGCCCCCCTTGTGACGTCATTTACCCAATCGGAACCGTCCCGATGGCGAGAGCCTCGACGACGACTACGATGACGATGACGACGAGGACGACTTAGACGACGAGAACGACGGCGACGATCGACCGAGCAACGGCCAACCAAACCACAAAGTCGATCGGTGTATACTATGAACTGCCGAACGGAAGAGGAATCCTGGATTTCTTCGAGTTTCTAAAATTGGGAGGAGGGAAGCGAATAATCGTCAAGTTTTTCTTGTCCAGCAATTCTTTCCTTTAAGCATGGTCAAGTAGAACCTGTCTCTTTAATTACTTAACCGGATCTAACACGAATCTCGATATCGTATACCAATATATCAGGCACGATGACGGAATCGAGCAGTTTCCTAATTTCAGAGCACCAGCGATCTTTTACCACGCGATAGTTAGCATCGAGCGCTTGTACGCGTTAGCGGTACTCAGGGCAGTATCCCATCTAGGATAGAGAGTTTTATCGTTGCGTACCAACGTGCATCGTGCATCGTGCATCGTGCATCGTGTATAGTGTATAGTGCATACCGATCCGATTAACCGTTTCCATGTACGCACACGGCACGGCAATACACGCACGAATACAGGTGCACGCATAGGGCGTGCTTCCTTTCCTTTTTAGAAACGACGAGGGAAGAAAGAAAACGTGCTCCGCGAGGCACACAGAGATCACGGAAATGCGTTGCCTTTAACGTTGATTTTTCTTCGCGTCCAGTCTCTCTCTGACCCTTTCCCCTCCCCTTCTCTTCTCTTCCCTCTTTCTCTCTCTATCGGACGATGGTCAACGACCATCGACTTCATCGAACCGATCAACAGACTCCCAATCGTACAGCATAGCGGCATAACGCCTGATGCGTACACATACATAGCTTTGATCAAAGCGAAAACGACTGATCTTCTTGGTAGTTAGGTTCTTTCGTAGACTTGCAATTAGAGAGCGACGTTCGCGTTATTAGCGTTATTCGCGAGGGAGTTGGAACCCTTCATCCTCGGCCACTTAATACGCGTTTTCTCATCGAATGTTATCACACACAGGAATACGACACGAGTATACACACGCGAACCGTTTTACATAAGTATTCGTTGGCAAGATACACGTATGTATGCATGTATGTATACAGACACGACGTTCTCTCTTTTTCCCTGATCCTCTTTTCATCGTCCAGGGATCCCCCTAAGGCTCGGCGACTCTTATGTGATTATTTAAAGACTTATTTTTTCTATAACGATAATAATTTAAAGAACGGTGAAAAACGTAGTGACGAAACGTTTTGTTAAGGCGATAAACTCGATAATCGTGTATCTTCGAAAAGCCAACGCGAAAATTGAAAGAGTACGAGCATGCGACACACTGTTATCGAGGGCAAACGAGATATGTACGAACGACGTATAAATAAAGAACATGAACTGATGACACTATTGTTGCGACTACTTCCGAATACTTTATATTAATCACAGCTGGTTACATCGAATCTCCGGTTCTGTACGTCTACATATTTCGTTAAAGAGCGTGCATCAAAGAGATGCAATAATTGCGGTATCGCGATTTTGACGAGAACGCGATCGAAACGATCACGGTACCTGTCAAACCTACAAATATACAGAAAGCAATAGTTGCAAAAGGTAAGGCAATGGTAACTATTGCAATTGCTCTCGGTAGTTCGTATACTATATACAATACGCGTTGCGTCGCGTATAAATGTCGAGTCAACCCTTCCTCTTGTTCGGCGAGGCACGAGTCTTATTTCTCGCGGACGACGAACCGCGATTCATTCCCGATCTGTACTTCGAAATCGATCCGAAGGAGATTGGTACGATCATACGATAGAATCTCAGACAGAGACACCCGCTCTGCAGATTCCTGTTTTTCCTGACGCGCTTGGAACTTCTCTTGCCGGATTCTCGACGCGCGCCTTCGTTCTCGCTCTCGTTCAATTCCTCGTCCAATCGTTTCGGAGCCACAACGCTCCGAAATTTCACTCGATTCTTTCTTGTCTCCGTCGGAACGTTTTGCATCTCTTCTTGCGTCACTTCCAAAGAGACTTCTCTGCCAGAAATCTCCGGCGTGGCTTCGCCGCTTTTCACGAAAAACAAGGAATAAGGATCCTTCGATTCCGAACGTACAGACTCGTCGTTCCGCAACGCGTTCTCCTGGTTGCGCTCTTCACGATCGGAATCGAGCTCTTTGAACGCTTGAACCCACAAATCGTCGCGATCGTAACGCCTACAAGGATTTTCGCCGCTGGACGGACTTCGAGGCGTCTCCCTCACGTCAATCTCTCTGATTGACGATTTCTGCTCGCAAACTATCGATGAAATTTCATCCGGAGAATCTATACTTCGTTTCGTACTAGCTTTTTCATCCGTTTCGTTAAACATGTCAAGCTTCTTCGCCAGAGACGATTCCGAACAACTCTCCACCGAGCTGTCGCACTCCTCTCGATAATCGCGATTCCTGTAGATGATGTTGGCCGATTTCGAGCTAGGCTCGTTCTCGTCTCGTCTCTTCGACCTGTTCCATCTGGCCGAGAACTTCTGCACCAACTTCTTCATTCCGGACGTCTCCCGATGATCCTCTAGCTCTGCAGCGTGACCGATCACGTCCGCGACCGAGTCTTCGAGACCAGTTCCTGCTAATCTGGTTATGCTCGGATGGACGTCCAGCTTGTACCTAGCGTCCTCCTCGTCTTCGTCCTCGTCCTCGTTCTCGCCTCGAGCCTCGTTCCGGTCCTCGTTCAGATTGCTCAGTTGGCCGGGAACCTTGAACTTATTCGAGGCTACGCTGGTCTTCTCCGAAATCGTGAACGGAAATCTGTCCTGACTTCTCTTCTTGAACCGAGACGTGTCTCTCGACCGCTCGTAGCACAACTTAGACGTCGAGGAGGAAAACTGTGGACACTCGTAGTAGTTGTCCACGAGGAACGCGGCGGTGTCGGATCGGATGCTCCTTGTTTGCTTCCCGATGCTCCTTCGAAACTGTTCAGCTGCTAGCTTCTCCAGGGAGAATCGTAGCCTGTCGCGATTCTCTGACACGCTCTTCTCAGCGAATTCCTCTTTCTCTGGAGACGAGTTTGCGAACTTCCGTTCTTCCGAACTCTGCGTCTCGTTGCAGCTCCCGTCGCCTATCCGGTTCTCGAATAAATTCGTTTTCCTCGTATCTGGGATCTTTTCGTAAATCTCTCCCTCGTAGCCGCCGTAGTAATTGGCTCGGTAGGTAAGCAACGGAGAATCCACCGGCGATTCGGGAGTCTTCGGGATGTAGATCGTGGGTTCGACATAGTTTTCAGGTTCCGCGAGGCCCGCGATAGGCTCTTCGACGCAGCGACTCTGCGAGCCGCTGTTTGACGAAACGCTGCATTGCTTGCTTCTCTGGCTGACGTTCTCGTGCTTCCCCGAACTATTAGAGAAGTTCGACGATCTGCACGTGTCGGTGTGGAATTTCGCGCTGTCGCCGCGATCCCGATTCTCTTCCTTCCCCGTGCTGTTTCCCTCGGATCGCGACCGATCATCGTCGCTCGTCATCGTACGTATTTGCAAGGAGAACGCCGGCGACTCGGTCCGATCGGTGCTCGTTTCGTCCTTCGTAGACACTCGATTACTTTTGCTCTCTTGCTCGTTCGCCGCGTCACTGGTATTGGTGACTGGGGATCGTGCAGGCTTCTGCATGATCTTATAACTTTGAACGAGGGGTGAACTGGCGCGTGATTTGCTAACGCGTCCGCTGGCTACCCGCGCGGAACCAAAGTGGAACGACTCGGGCAACGATGGACTACTCTTGAACGATCTTTTACTAGAACCGATCGGACTCGTTCCTTGACTACTACCCGCTCGCCCGGTTTCGTTCGGTTTGTCGCGACTCACGATCGACAGCTTGCTTCTGTGGGTAGGTATCTTGACGGGTATTTTGGATTTCTTGCCGAGGGATCTGCAGGAAGGATCTTCGTTGAACGATCTCGAATGCTCCTCCATCGAGATCGTGTTCTCGGAGGACTCCGGTCTGGAAACTGTTTTGTCGTCTACGCGGGGACTGGGGCTCGCGGATTCAGGTATAGAGATCGTCTTGTCGTCGACGTTGGCGCCGGGACTGGCACGGGACTCGCTGTTTCGCTCGGACATTCGCTCCGTTTGCTGCTGCTTCAGCGACGCGTTTGACAGTGCCACCATCAGGGTCGCCGTGTCCAATCCCTCCGTATAGCCTTTGCTAGTCGGTGACGTGCAGCACGAACCTTCTTGCGAATTCAATACTAACGCAGGAACGTATTCCTTGTCGTTATTGACTTCGGCCGAGTACTCATCGCACGTCTCGCTTTTATCTGGATATTCCGATTGGTAGTAATTGTGCGATAACATTTCTGTATCCTCGCTCGTGCAGTATCTGTCTCCAAGGGGTTCCGGAGAGGACGCGATATCATCGGACGGAGGAAAATTCGTCTCGTTGTCCTGGTCGTAGGTCAAGATGCATCGCGATATCGCTTGTTTCAAGGCTTTCGCATCGGTGATAGTCGACGGATCCAATTCTATTTCGTTCTCCGGTGCGTTCTCGAACGCCGGGTCCTCTACGATGGTTTCCGGCAGCTGGGAACTTCGCAGAGTCGTTTGATCCTCGAACATCGTCGTCACCGTCGTTTCGCCAGAATATTCGTTTGGACATTGGGTCGGACATTTCTCGTTCGGATACTCACTCGAACATTCCTCTGGACTTTCGTTCATAGCCCGTTCATCGGGCATTCCCTTGTAACTTTGTTCGTCTACGGTTTCGGCGTACATCAATGTGTCGAGTTGTACCACTTCACGAGGTGACTCTTCTCGTATCCCGGTTTCTGGAGAGGCGTTAGTAAGAATCGGCATTTCGTTCGGTGTCCGCGAACACTCTCTGCTCCTATTATAATTTTGAAGAATCTCCTCTCTGGCCGAATAAAACATCGGCTCCTCCTCGTGGTTGATTAGCATGTCCTTCGCGTTTCGACAGCCGTTCTCGCTCCTGGCCGTGGTCACCGTTCTGTAGACGGGCGTCTTCTTCTTCGAAGAAGGGAAACGAATCGACGGATCGTTGGCGCGATGCGCCGGATAAACGTTGGCGAAGCTCATCCTCGAGGGAGACGAAACGATATTTTCGAGACAAGCGTTCCGCGAGGAATCGACCAGACGATTGGACGATCTCCTCGAGGACACGGGGGGCAAGTAATCGTTTTGAAATTTGGCGGTTTCGTACACTTCCAAGGAGATACCGATCTCCCTAGCCGTGGCAGCCATCAGGCGGTCGATCCTCTGGTTCACGTCCCTCCTGTCCGACGTTACCTCGTAACTGGATTCCGCCTCTTCGCTGCCGGAACTGAGATTCTGCAGGATCACGCCAGGGCAGGTCCTGTACTTGGCCGAAGGTGGCAGCGAGAGGGATTGCCCGTCCCCGATTCTGTCCCTCGGTGAGTTCTCGCTGGACGCAGCGACGGAGTAAGGGCGAAGGAACATCGAACTTCCTTGAGACTGGGAATCGCCGCACGGTTTCTTTCGCCGATCGCGATACAAGCCGGGCGACCTCGCCGACAACGAGAAGAGCGTTTGGCGATCAGCGTTGCTCGTTGACATATCGAATTCCAAGACCGATCGGTGCTCGCAGTCCAAACACTCCTTTGTTCTGCTCTCGTTCGACGAGCTTTTGCCTTCGGACCTTTGACTGCTCGAATCGTTTCTAGTCGAGGAAACGCTCTCGCTGCGGTTCGAGACGACCATCGCTCGGTTTCGCGCGTTCTCCAGACGAATCTTCGCCCTCCTACGCGTTCGCGCGTCCTTAGCTCTCAGATCGGAATAGGATCTCCTCGCAAACGACTCGCCCGGGGAGTCCAGCTCTGCCTCCTCTTTCTCGATGTTCTCGACGATCCGATTCGTCTCGCTTTGGAAATAAAAGTCTCGCTGTCTAGACAAACGGCGGCTGATGTCGATCACTCGACTCGCTAGGCACGCGGCTTGATTCGGCGACGGGAGATGCTGCAGACGCTTCCTCAGATCGGAAGGGGAACTCTCGTCGGAACTGGTGTCGCCTCGCGGGTTATCTTCGTCCTCGTTGAACGAACGATCTGCACCATCAGGGTTACGTCCACTGTTTATTCGTCGGGTTAATCGTTAAAACGAGCGGCCTCTCTTTCAAATCGCTCCTGTTCGAATTCCGTCTTAAAATTGGCAAGTTCGTACCGTACCGTCGTCGGAAAGCAATATGCCATCGTTTTGTACAACATAAAATATAGAATGATCGGATTCGATTCGGATATGATACGAGAGGAAAATGAAGGGGAGATTAGGTTTGAAAGATCGTCGTACCAGCGGAAGATGACAAGGGGCTGGGCGTTTTCACTTCTGCGTTCTCTAAAATTTCGTCGTCGTCGCCGTCGTTTAACATATCGAGTCCATGGGAAATGTGTCGCTGATATTCTATCCACGGATCTGCGACGGGAGGTTAATCAGAAACGTTTAAATCGATCTGCGGTCAGCGTGACACGGAAAACAAGAGAATGCACGGTTCCGCTTAGGTACACGAAACAACTGGATTGTCACCTGGCACCTGTTCGATTTCGAATCCGCTGGGATTTAGGCAACATATTTTTAGACAGCGACAAATTTTCCTGGTTTCTGGCGAAACCAGGAAAATTACACTTTATCCTCATGGATGTTATTTTACTCGTTGCGGGTTTTGCGGTTGTTGGAGAACGTCGGTCAGACTGTATATAAAGCGGAGCTGGCTACGGTCATTATCCTTACTGTCGAGACGTTGACGTTCGCTCTTGGACATTCCACCGCGTATCATACGCAACCGTTTGCGTGTTTTATAATCGATTTAAAAATGACAGACAAGTCGAATATTCTGTATCTGTTCGATCGGCCATCCGAACCAATTTACGTTCCCAAGGGGAACGAGAAAGTCTCTTTCGATATTCCACCCAACTACCTGGTGAGTACAGATCGCGATCGCGTCTTTCTTAATTTACGTTTCACGTTACGATCGATTCGTTCAGCCCGAGCAGTACCGAAATGTCGCTGTTCAAGTGCTGAATCGGTTTGGCGACGAAGCAGAGACGAAGATTCCGGTGAAACAGATATCTCTTCCGGATCTGAGCGTTCCGATGCAACTGGGACGTCGTCAGCCCTTCTCGTTGTTCATTCCGGCCCATCGGAAGATGGCTGGTCGGTTGATCGACATCTTTTTGGGTAAGTTTCCGTGCAGTCGTTCAATAATCGTAGCGACTCGTAAAGTTTTCTAACACTGCCGTACTTTGCATCGCGTGGTAGGTATGCGAACGTACGAAGACTTCCTGTCGGTTTCGGTGTACTGCCGCGATCGTGTGAACCCAGATATGTTCATCTATGCTTTGTCGGTGGCGATCCTTCATCGTCCCGATACGAAAGATCTGCCGATACCGCCACTGAACGAAGTGTTTCCGGACAAGTATGTGGACAGCGGAGTATTTTCGAGGGCGCGGGAGGAAGCCAACATCGTGCCCGCGGGTTCTCGGGTGGGTCACGATTTTCCAAATACCTTCGTTCAAACTCACTGAGAACGAGTTACCGATGCACGAGTTTACAGATACCGATCGAGATCCCGAGAGATTATACTGCGTCGGACTTGGACGAAGAACACCGTATCGCTTACTGGAGAGAAGACATCGGCGTGAATCTTCATCACTGGCATTGGCACCTGGTGTATCCCTTCGAGGGAGACATCAGGATCGTTAACAAAGATCGCCGCGGAGAGATCTTTTACTATTCGCATCAACAGATCATCGCGAGGTATGTCACAGATACAGATTGAAATCTGGAAGTTGAAAAAACACGAGGTGGGGACTTTTTCAGATACAATTGCGAACGTCTATGCAACAAACTCCCGCGAGTGAAGCGTTTCATCAACTGGCGCGAGCCGATCCCGGAAGCTTATTTCCCGAAACTGGACTCTCTGGTCGCCAGCCGCACGTGGCCGGCTCGGCACGGCGGTGCCGTCCTCAAGGACGTCAACCGACCTGCGGACGACCTGAACTTCGACATCCAGGATATGGAAAGATGGCGCGATCGCATCTACGAAGCGATCCACACAGGATCCGTGATGAACGCGAGAGGAGAAAGAATTCTGCTGACCGAGAAGGATGGCATCGATGTGCTCGGAAACATCCTCGAGGCCAGCATTCTCTCCGTCAATCGAAACATATACGGGGATTTGCACAATTTCGGCCACATCGCCATTTCCTTCGTGCACGATCCGGATCATCGTTATTTGGTGCGAGACGAAGCGAGATAAATTCAACATAACAATTATAGAACGCGCGCGTTTTTTCCTATTTCAGGAAAATTTCGCTATTATGGGTGATACTGCGATCAACATGCGGGACCCTATATTCTATCGATGGCACGCGTTCGTCGACGACGTTTTCCAGGAACACAAAAACACGTTACCTCCCTATTCCGTTGCACAGGTAATCGAAGCCGATCAGATTCATCGAAACCATCCGGATCGGAAAGAGACGAAAGATCCGTTTATTTAATTTTTAGTTGGACTACCCAGGCGTCGAGATAACCGACGTGAAGCTGACGTCGTCGCGTAACCGACAGCAACGCAACGTTCTCGAGACTTTCTGGACGAAGAGCGACGTCGACATGTCCCGTGGGCTCGACTTCACTCCGCGTGGCCCTGTGCTCGTTCGCTTTACTCACTTGAATCACGCCGATTTCGTGTACACCATCGTCGTAAACAATCGTGGCAACACTCCGCGAAGAGGAACCGTCCGCATCTTCCTCGGACCCAGGCAGGACGAGCGCGGACTGCCGCTTCCGTTCAGGCAACAGAAGAATCTGATGATCGAGATGGACAAATTCACCGTCACGCGTACGTTCTCCTTTTCGTATATGTAAAGATGTGTCGCGGCTGATGCACGTTTGATTCGGCAGTTCGCCCAGGGCAAAACACGATTGAACGTAAGTCGACGGAATCTTCGGTGACCATTCCTTTCGAGAGGACCTTCCGCAACGTGGATCAGAACAGACCGACGGAGGCCCTGGCCTTGGACCAGTTCAACTTCTGCGGATGCGGTTGGCCGCAACATCTGCTCCTGCCCAGAGGAAACAAAGAGGGATTCCCTATGGATCTGTTTATCATGATATCCGATTATAGCGGCGATGCTGTAAGCGTTTCTTCGTACAAGTCGTCCGCGTATGATTCCGACGCTGATACTTCTTTCGTTACTTAAGGTTGAACAAGACGAGTCGCCGAGCTGCAGAGACGCCGTGAGCTATTGCGGGTTGAGGGACAGAAAATACCCTGACGCTCGTCCCATGGGATACCCGTTCGATCGGCAACCTCGCGCTGGCGTCGAGAATCTACCTCAATTCCTTACCGGAAACATGGCCGTGGCTGGAGTGACCGTTCGATTCTCGGACACGGTTGTACCCAGATCCGGATCCGGTAGTGTCGGAAACTCGCTCATGTAATAATCTTCCGTAATAAGCACTCTTCTCGGATCTTAATGTTAAACGCTTGAACTTTCAAAGGAAGATCATTTACGCTTAGCTTTAGATATAAATATAACGAGTCAGTCTTGACAAATAAAGTAAGATGCAAATATAAAACGGAAAAAAAATCTAAAATCTTATCTTGAATTGTATGCTGATTAATGATCAATAATCTGATCAATAAATAAATGAAGACGAATCTTGGCATTTTCATTTTACGACCTACTCTCTGCTCTCTGACAACTGTTTTCCTTTTAACTTCGATATTTAACGAGTTACGTATGATTATTTGGCATTTTAATGATGTTGACAAAATCCGACCATCCCGGCGTCAAAACGGCGAACTTTTGGCAAAAAATTTCATTTTTCCTTAATTACTCCTAAACCGTTGAATCTACGGGAAAATTGTATAAAACCTTTCTTGTAGAGGACGATAAGATCTACAATCTCTGTATAAAAGTTTGTCGCTAGCGTCAATAGTTTACGCGTTATTGACGAAAAACGAAAAAACAGTTTTTCGCAAGTTACTCGTAAACTATTGATGCTAGTGAAAAAGTTTTATAC